GGTTCCATGCCATTGTATTAATATTAAAAGACAATTCTTTGAGAGGATTTGCATTATACTAGAAGTGTTACAACGTGTTACAGCATGTTATTGGAAGTCTACGAAGTTGTTTTATTAATAAGGGGAAAGTAAAGATTGAATGGGGACTTGGGCTCCACCTAGACTCGGAGCAACTGAGCCAATATTAAAAGGATGGAAAGAAATTGGACGATGATGACAAGGAGAAGAGAGAGGTGAAGCAGTGGCAGGGGGAGGAGAAGTGATTGAGTAGACATTTCCTTGTTTAAAATAAAATGGCATGTGCCTCAATGCAGTTGAATTTTGTTATATTTATATACTATATAAAGGTTTGGAAACCTTATTTTACAAGTGGGATAATGACAATTCCCACTTTAACGAAATAGAGCGTAATATTACAATAATTTCAATATAATGAGAATAAAAATTACCTTGGATTATATACATGAGCTCCTATGGTTGTCTAACCCGATATGTGCCCTATATGGTCAAAATGTACCCATGCATTTGCAAAATCACTAGACCCTAACATGTTCATTCGAGAGACAAAATCTACACCAAAGGCAGGGTTTATGGTAAATATTTTGAAGACGAAGGGGCGTGTAAGTAGTTAATTTTTCTATTTTACTTTAGTCACTCACCCACACCTCCAACCACTTGAAGGAGTCTCATTCACAACTTCCATAAGTCTAATTCAGGACTTGGGGCTTGTTAGCCCCGAAAATGGCATCCATGCCATTCAACCTTTGGACTTGATCCAAGTGCTCTATGTGTTCGATCCCAAGACCGACACCCCAAGGTACCACCGACATATCAACCTGTTATGCTAAGGCCATGCCCATTCACCTTAGTCACTTACATCATAGTCCCGTCTCTCAAAGACTATGCTGCTCGTCCATGAGTGATCATCTTAGATCCACTCTTTAGCATCCTTAAGATGCCCACAAACATAACACTGCCATTGGATCAAAGCCCACAGGCCCAACCACCAAGTCCCACTCTCCTTTGGGACTTCCTCACTATGTGACTGTATCCTTGATCGCCGCACCAGAGGACTACTCCTCTTCCTTTCCATAGTCTAAGACTTTGGGACAACATTTCAGAATACCATGGCCCTACGCAAGCTTCATAAGTAACTCTCCCCGCCTTTTGCCTTTAGGTGCTCTAGAGCAAGGTTCTGTTGAGCCACGCCAGGTATCCAAGTAGGTAGTGCCACCCATGCTTGGACTGGGAGCATCGACCATTTGATCTCCTAGGAGAACTAGAGTTAGCTCTTAAACACTTCACTAAGCTACCCCACTTGTCAATCTATATTTACTCTAGCCTTGGACTTCTTAGTGGTTATCTCATCACCCAACAGCTGGGTATGGCCTTCCTAGGCTAAACTGGCCTTTCCTAGCCAAACTAGCTCCACTAGGATCACACCCCCACACTCTCCCTATTATACTTTTGGAACCCCCTCCAACCGCCCCCCCCCCCCCCCTTGGGGGACAATTGCTTTGGGCTTTCACCCAACAGCCTGTATTAGTATTCGGACTTAGACTTAGACTTAGACTCAGACTCAGACTTGGACTTGGTCTTGATCTCAATTTCGGACTCGGACTCGGTCTCGGTCTTAGTCTCGATCTCAGTCTCAATCTCAGGTCTATCTTGGACTCTATCTCGGGTCTATCTCGAGGTCCATCTTGGACTCTATCTCGAACTCCATTTCATGTTCATTTTGGACTCCATCTCGGGTCCATCTCGGACTCCATCTCGGGTCTATCTCGGACTCCATCTCAAACTCCATCTCGGGTCCATCTCGAGTCCATCTCGAATTTCTCCATGTGTCATGTGTTGGTCCTTTTGTGTTCCTTTTTCTAGAGACTCACTTACTGCTTGCTTCGTGCTTGTTCCTTGAGCACTTCGTTGGGAGTTCCACTTTCACTCTTGACTTTTCAAGTCGAAGTTTTTAGTCCAAACATGTTATGCTTGTTTGGCTTTCTCTCCGGCCACTACCACATGGCACTTTCGGCTCCACTTTGGGGCTTTTGGGATTTGTGTCTTATAGAGCACTCCTACTCATTCATAACTTGGTCTAGAAACAAACTTTCATAGATGAACTTGTGTAAATAGGTTTGTTTCAATTCAAGGATGCAGTCAATTTTTGATTGCAACTTCCCCTCTTGAGATTCACACATCCAAGATTTTATCTTAAACAATATAATGTAAGAAAAAAATATTATTATAACTTATGAAATATAACCAACATACCTCCTTAGGCTAGTAGTAGGTTATACTCCTTGTAGTAAGTCCCATGAGCTAACCTCATTTAGTTAAGTCCTTTAACAACCTAGATTGAGTAAAGTATTTGCGATAAAATCCTTGAGAACGATCTTTTGAACATGCTTTAGAGTTGTAGATGAGTTTCTCATAGTCTCTTCCAGCACAACATCTTTGAAACGGTTAAGAGAACTCCTTTGTATCCCTTCTACAATGAATATATGTATGTGCTAACATGCATTGCAGCTCTTCCAGCCACTTCATCCTATGGAAGAAAGTAATACATCTTGGCCTCATAGATAACACAACATAGAGGAGTGTTTTTGCAGAATCAACACTTGAATCCAACAGCAATGGTGTCATAAGCTGGAGGATTGACTGTAAACCCTTCGAAAATATAGAATTTCTACAGCGGTCTCAATTGCATGCTTCATCCACACAATCTAAATTCCTACCACAATGAACTATAGACACTATGTCTTCAAAATGTTAGAAGTGTGTAGTCTTGATCTTACACCAATTGTAGACATCCTGCTTGGTTTCCATCCCCTTCCGTTTGAAAGCTGTGTTACTAACAAGAGGTGGTAGCTCTAAGAAAATGTTGTTATTGTAGGAGGATGGAAGTTCGCTCACAAGCCTATACAAAAACAAGTGCATGTCGATTGAGAGGCACAAAAACTGGAAAGCATTGCTAACAGCTTTGAATATTGCTAAAGCTAGAGCTAGAGCTGGAGCTAGTGAATTCGGCGTCGACACTAGCATAACTTCTTCACTTGAATTAAAAGAGGATGAAAAAATAATAATTGACTCTTGCTTCATATTCACTTTAGTTAGAGTGCATCTTGACACTTTGATTGAATATCCAAAAACTCAAATCTCTTTCGATTTAGAATTCTGCAAATCTTATTGCTGTCCACCTTTGCCCACACCTGAAAGACAAACCTCTAAACATACAACTATACCAGTGTTGTTACAAATCACAGCCTCTAAAGCAATAGAGCCAAGACGAAGATCAAAACGCCGATATAAAAAACTTTCGGAAACAATACTCTAAGAGAATGAAAGAGGTGGGTGATTTTGAAAATGAAAAAGAAACCTCTCTATCCTTCTCAATAGGTTTTGGAGTTCTCTTTCTTTATACTACTTATAAAAATCCATAGTGAAAAGTAATTGAAATTTAAATAGAGCAATAAGAAGAATGTCAATATACAAAATGAATTTAAATTTTATAGCAAATTTAACATGTGCAAGTGTGATAGTATTAATATTACTGTCATCTATTATGATATCTGATGCATGTATACACATAGATCCAAGGAAGGATTTTCAGCATGTGAAGTTTGATAGTCAATAATGATATTAGTAATGACATTCTGCTATAGTTTGTCAATTCAAGAGATCCAATCTAATTGTCAGCATATGTGATGTGTCAAGTTGTCAAATCTTAAATGGTAGATGATGATAATTCTTGTCAAATCTTATTCTTCAATGATAGATTTGATTCGTAGTACAACTCAAGTTTTATCCATAATTGTGAACATTGCTCAATAACATTTAAAGCACATGCCTATTTTTTAGGATCTAATACAACACAAAATAAATTTCAGGATGAGGATCCATCCATTTATAGATAAATATAGTGCAACATATTTTAATGTGCCTTATTTATACTCTTTAAAGTTCTTGTAACGGTTCTAAAATATATATAAAATATTGATGAGAATGCATCCTTTTTAGATAATTTAGAAAAAATATATCATATCTCTAATAACAGAATTATTGATAGATGCTAGTTATATCATCATTAAAATATACACAATAAAGAACCATAATTCACATATAATAATAATGATAAGATAAAATAAAATTGAAGATATTGTGATGGTTGAGATTTAGGTTATTTGGAATGAACAGCCAAGATGAGATATTGGTTAGGGTTAGGGCAGCCGTCAGGGTTAGGGTTAGTGTAGCCACCAAGATTAGATTACTATTTGCACCGTGAGTAGAGCATGCAAGAGATCAAGGGATTGAGCATGAAGGAGATCGAGGGATTAAACATACAAGAGATTGAGTGATTGAGTGCACAAAAGATCAAGAGATTGAGTGTGGAGCACGTGAGTGCAGGAGATTGAGCATGCAAGTGGGAGAGATTGAGTGCGGAAGAGTGTGGGAGATCGAGGGCACAAGTGTGAACATGAGTTGAGATTGAGAGTGTGAGAGATTCAGCACAATCGAGAGATCAAGAAGGAAAAATGCCACCAATAGTGAGTTTTTATTTGATTGTTTCCATGATTTTTCTTCTTGCTTCTATTAGCTTCTGTCGCTGAGCCGAGCTTGACTGTGGGCACTCTGGCCGCTTTAGAGGCCAAAGTTATTTGAATAACCTCAACCCTTTGGGTGGCCAAAGTGCCTAAGGTTGAGCTCGGGTTAGACGAGGTTATTCAAATAACCTTAGCCCCCATAGTAGCCAAAATGCCTGAAGTTGATTTTGGGCCCACTTGATTTATTTTTGTTTTATTTGACTATTTGATTTTCTTATTATCTTTGTTTAGTTTGACTAACAAAATTTCTTTTTTTGCAAAAAAAGAAAATTGTACCACCTAAAATGGTTGTTCAAACCAAAAAGATACAAAAAGTTTAATTTAACATTAATGATGATATTACAATTGATATATCCATTGGCACATCAACAAAGACACAATTTCTTAAAGATCCACCACCTTTACCACCATCGCCTTTGCCATCACCACCTCCACCACTACCATTGCTACTATTGCCACCACCACTACCATTATTACCTCTAGCCCTACTACCACCATTACCACCCCCACCATTACCACTGCTACCTCCACCTTTACTCCTCATTGGCCCACCACCAGCACAAATCCCTAAAGTTGGGCAATCTAGTGATGTTCACGATAGGGAACTTAAGGAACAACCTGGAGTTGAAAGAGTTGCAAACTTTCTTAACAATATGGTGGACAAGTGCTTCCAAGAGAGTGTTATGTGGACAAGGGAAAAAACAGTTCACCAAACACTTGATGAACAAAAAGAAAGGACTGCCAAAACTATTTGAAAATATGATAAGAAGGGTTGTCTACATCATGTAAACTATAAGTAAAGGTGAGAAGTTCTTGGCACTGCATATTTGTGACGATTCAGATGGCACATTCATGTCTTTCGACATCTACATCAACACATCATTGGAAGGCATCAAAGAGGGGTGGCTGCCAAAGAAGTCTATAAACACAACAACTTATGATTGCCAACATAGTTAGCCTTATTTCATGTGACATACAACTTATAGGTATAACATGATTTCTAAGACTTTTTTTAAATATATATCGTTTACAAGTATTTTCGATATAGAACCATGCCATTTGAGGCACCAGTTTGCACTTGACTTGTTACAAAAGGGTGTAAGGGATGGAGGAATGTACCCAACAATGTTTGCAAGAATTCCAAAGGCATGGAAGATAGAATGCCCTTGGGAGTTGGAGCTCTTAGGAAAGAAGACCCCTACACTATACTAGTAAAAAGTTGTCAATGCTAGTAATGATAGCAATGCAAGTGATGATGGAGACGAGGATGAGGAAGCTTTAAATCAAGTTCACATTCCACCACTAAATAGCCAAGATTAGGTTCTAGTCCAACCATCAAACAACCAAGATCCAGATTAGGTTCCACTAGTAAATAACAATGATTAAGTGGTTCACAAAATATCACATTGACCTTAAGGTAAGCAAAAGTGAATTTTACAAACTAAAGGTGGTAATACATATTTTTTGCAACAGTGACTATTAGTAGTAATTTCAATCCAGCTCGATGAAATGCTCGTGAAGAAAAGTTGGAGGCACTCTTATCGATAATATGCCATATGACGGTAGCATATTATTCATTGTTTTTTTTATTCACTTAGCTCTTCTATAGTTCCATCCTATTTCCCCAATAACACAATGAGGCATTGTAGGTGTTTTCATTGGCTCCTACAGTAAATTTTTTACGTCTTTCACGGAAAACAACAACAACATAAATATATGGTGCTAATTTAATTGTTGATGCTGAAAAATACAAAGGCCCTTGCTCCCAGTTGCAGACTTTATTCTCTTCGACTTTCCAAACAGTTTTTCAAATATCAATGGGAAAGTTGAGGATTGGAACTTTCTCACACCTTACCACATGTGCGATACATTCCTCTTGTCTGAAGCACTTATGCTCGAAGCTAGCTATGTCACCTTTATCTTACTGAATGACCTTAACTGAATGTATGAGCTTATGATGTGTGTAACAAAAGCTCATTTCAAGTCATTCTCTTCTAGGTGCATTATGGATCCTATTAGTGTCAATACTAGGGGCATCCAAGGGAAGCCTGAAAAGGTGAGTATATATTTTATATTTTTATCTAATTTCGAAACTTTTTTATTTTCCAAGTTATGATGTGGACCTATCATGCCTTTTGCAGAAACACATATGATGGGTTTTGTGATAGTGAACATGCAACATATTTTTTGCCTAGGTACAACAATTCCACTAATATTATACCCAATCTTATGGATGAGCAGATCTACAACACGTTTCCAGGGTACTGATTTTGAACTCCATCGGCGATGCAAGTCTTACTTGAGCTCTATTACCCACTAGATAGTGTTGTGATTGATTGCACAATAGGTAGCGGTTCTATGGTGGAGGCAACACGTGACTCTGATAGGTTAGTGTTTGCTATTGAAGAACATAATTTTTTCAAATGCCAGCTCAAAGGATTTCGTGAGTTGCCTCCAACCTCAAAGAGGTAAATTATATTTATTAAAATTTCAATATATGTTTAGTTTTATTTTATAAATCACAGTCATGTAGAGTTTTTAGAATTGAAGGCTTTGGAAGTCTCCCCCGACTATGTAGAAGCCTTGGCTCAACATATACAAGGTGAATCTTCCCCACAATACCAGTATAGGAGGAAGCATAAAAGAAATCAATATGTTAATTATAAGGCAAAAGAAAGTTAATTGCATCCTTATATAAAATGAAAAATTTGTTACATGTCAAATGTCTATGAAAGTGTCAGATATTAATAAAAGTGTCAAATGTTAGTGAAAGTGTCATATGTCAGTGAAAGTGTCAAATGTTCAATGATAATGTTAGATATCATAATTGCAAATTATCATTTTCACATGGCACCATCACTTTGTAGCACTTGTGTGTTGCCATCTCCTCTTTCAACATCTTGTAAACAATTGTATATAATATAATAACACCTTCTAGAACAAAGTATGTTACCTGCAACTAATATCATTTTATTATATTTTTTCTTTTAAAAGTGATAATACTATAGTATAGTAAAGTAATTCTAGATCTTACATTCCATTATAGGGTGGCCTAAAAACCCTATATTTTACACTAGCTGATGTAATGTTTTACAAGGGGATGTTGTTCCTTACCATGAAGGAATAATGGGTATGGGTTTGTAACTCATTTTTGAATCTATTGTATATCCACATGTACATTAGGCAATTGCTACAATGCTCAAAAAATGTTTGTAAACTTATAAAGCCATTTGTCTTGTCCAAAAAAAAGTAGTATATTGGATATTGAATGTAATAGCATTTTGTGCTTTTAAGTAGTTCTACCATATTAGGAGTAAGATCTTACAAAAACATATGGCATTGCTTTTGAAGTACTTGAGGCAATCCCTCTCTAGTAGCAAGATCTGAAATTTCATATATAGGGAGCTCTAGTTCAACTTCATTAGAGCCCTCAACAGAAAAAGGATTGTTATATGGAGGTGAATATGGAATGTTGGTAGAGTTTGGGGATGGAGGTGGAGATTGATATGAAATGCTGGGGGGCCAAGTACAAGTAGTAGTGTTAGGGCGTGGCCACCGGGAGAGTGAGAGAGAGAGAGGGAATATTCTGGTCCTCAAAATATTCCCCATCTTCCTTGTATAAAACCCTTGCCTCACAAGGGCGAGGGGGGGCATTTTTGCAGAGAGCAGTGAAGCATTTCTCGTGTTTGAGCGAGCGTTGGGGGAGGTGCCCCTCCTTCCTCCAACAAATGGTGAACCCGGCGTGACGTGCAAGACTTTCTGAAGCGTCATTTCTCTTTTTTCTTTTGGCCGCAGAGTTTGGGAAGGAATTCCTTGTTCATCTTGCGGTGGTTTTCTTTGATCTTGAGTGTGTTAGATAGGTCTGGAGCTCCTCTTTCCAGCAAGGTATGGCGCTCATCAAGCCGTGCAATATTTGAAGAGATACAACGTTTCTTGGCTCGGTCGGATGAGCATTTTGGGGTTTTCACTTTCTCGCCTGGATCCTCGGCCAAATTTCTCAAGGTAGTGCATTTGGGCTTGTAGATCTGGCCTAGATCTATGAGTAGTGGTAGTTCTTGGCACTAAATTTGGGCAAATTAACGGCATGTAAAAGGATTTTCTTCTCCGGCCAAGTTGGGTCATCTTTGTAGTAGGAATTCGTGTTCCTCCGGGCTTTGTTTTGGCTACTGTTTAGTTCTAGAGGTGCTCCTGGTCCTAGGCTTTCCAAAAATACCAACGGTGCCTTAGTATCGATCTACATCACAGACATGCACATGTTTTTCCACAATGTTGGCGTTCTAGGCTACCTCTTCGTGGATTTCAGGGGATATTGAGGCGGCTTCTTCCCACATTCCTACAATAGAGGGGAGACGGGGCTGAGCCCTTGCCAACGAGCCCACCGACAGTCAAAATGGAGAAGGATCAAGACTAGAGGACTCATTTTTCTCTTTTGGGTTAACCTTTGTCGGGGGTTCCTTGGGAACGAAGCAATCTTCAAGGAACAGGTAACCGTAGGAACAGGAACAGCAGGAGCAAGTGCAGGGGTAGGAGCGAGAGTAGGGGTTACCGGTTACAGGTCACAAGTCCCCGGTTATCGGCTACCGGCTACTCCCGCGGCTACTCCAGTGGCTGCTCCAGCGGCTACCCCGGTTACCGGTTACCGGCTACTCCAGTGGCTACTCCAGCGGCTACTCTAGTGGCTGCTCCAGCGGCTACCCTGATTACCGGCTACTCCAGTGGCTCCTCTACCGGCTACTCCAGTGGCTCCTCCAGCGGCTACTTCAGTGGCTACTCCGGCGGTTATCCTACGGGTCAATGGTTACGTGAGCAACTTGAGCACTAGCCTATAGTCTTCTTGCTCCTGTCAACCCAGTTGCCTTGACCAAGCATTTACAGTGTTCAGGGTATTTGATGCCGGTACAAACTAGACGTACGACAAATTGGCACCCTTTCACCATACCTCAAGGCCCTAAGGTACGGAGTAAACTTTCCAACATCCAAAGGCAGCTTAGGTATGACATTGCACCTTCTCGGGCCGAGTCCTCTTCCTCCTCAACAGATTCCAGTGACTTAGATTTACGAGCTATGGCGCAGCCACCCTTAGCTTGACCTCAGCTCCATGTTCTGCAGAAGGGGAGTGATCTGCCAGTCTTCTCAGGTGTTGGAACAGTCTCTCCAACATCGCATATTAGTCGCTTTGATTACTACTGCACCACAAACATGATCGTATGTGCCGCGACTTCCTGCAGTCTCTCGAAGGCAAAGCAGCAACTTGGGCAGATTCTCTCCTCCCAGAGGACCGGACAGACTTCCAGACACTACTTGCTTCTTTCAGAGAACGCTTCGTTGAAGAAAAACCCACAAATCGGCTACTTGTCGACCTCTTTTCGTTCCGACAGGGTGCTCACGAGACTGTTCCTGACTACATCACACGCTTTCGAGCTTACTGGAAGCAGTGTTGGGATCGCAGAGTAGTCCAAGATGAGCAACAGGGGATCACAGCATTCACAGCAGGTCTGCATGGGAACTTGTAGCTCTTAAGAAGACTTTCAGGTCTTGCCGTGA